TTTAATTGAATTTATTCTATTCCCTGAGGAGTCCATACTTTTTTTTATTTTATAGTCCTTTAAATTACTTAATTTCCATGTGCAGAAATGTATACAAACCCTGTTACAATGAGTCCAGATTTTCTTAAAATTTATATATCAATTAAAATTGAATGTGGAACAGAATTAAAATGCTAACAATAAAAAAAAAAATAGTTTTACTTTCTTGCAGCTTGATAAAGCTAAAAAATATTGATGTGAACGCCACATGAATTCCTTGTACAGCCTATTAAATTATATATATATTCCTTAACTTAATTTAAACTTATTTTCTTGGATTATTCTAACTTAATTAACTGATTCTTCAAAGCAAGTTAAAATTGACATAAAAAATTGCAAATTTTGAAATTAAATATCCCAGTCAATTTTTATGATACGGGAGTCAAACTTTTGATGTTTTTATTTTTTCATAAAACTTTCCCAAATATAAATATAAGAGCCGGAGGTTGCATTAAAAGTTAAATTTCAGCATTTGTAAAAAATTATTTTTTTCATTTGGCATTATCAAAACATGAATATTTTCATCATTAAAACACTTCTGTAGCTGGAAATGTATAGCTGTGACCAATGATTGTGAAAATAATGGCTGGTTTGCACGTTTGGTTCTGTCAGTTGTAATAAAGAAGGACAGTTGCACAACTAGATGTTATAGCAGTCCCATATGCAAAATTTCAACATCCTATGGCTAGTCATGTTTGAGTTATGCGAGACACATGCATACGGACGTCATGAAAAAATTCTTTCGAATCGATTTTACAATCTCCTTTTTCTAAAAAGTCCTTCATTTTTGTTGTATGGGAATCAAACTTCTTTTAATTGTATTTTTCCATAATGAGTATAAAACTTTCCCAAATATGATTGTAGGAATCGAGAGATTGCATTAAAAGTTAGATTTCAACATTTGTTGAAAAATAATTTATTTCCCCTTTTTTTTAAATGTGACATTAAACCTGAATATTTTTTCTATGTAAAATACTTCTGTAACTGGAAGTGTATGACTACAATCAATGATTGCAAAAATAAAGGTTGGATAAAGACTTTTAAGCCATGTAAAGGGATGGGTATATACACACACATATATATAATGTATTAGTTGCTGCTGATTGCAATAAAAAAAGGGAGGTGCACAACTAAATGCTATAGCAGTTCCATTTACAAAATTTAGATGTTCTTCGACTAATCATTTTTGAGTTATGCAAGTTACATGCATACATAACGTTTTGAAAAAAAAAAAAAAAAAAAAAAAAAAAAAAAAAAAAGAGTCCTTTATCGTATTCATATGTGCAAATGTCATGCAAGAAAATATTTCGAATGAATTTGGGAACAATTGAAATGTATATTTCTGTTGAAATATGACACCTGGAATTTTTCGAGATTACAAGACTTTCTTCACTTTGTACAAGGAAGTAAAAATTGATTTGGATTGAAAACCCATCTAGCTATTCACAATATTTATTCTCATTGCCAGTGGTAGTTGTTGCAGTGCATCCTTTTTCAGGTTTGGAAAAGTTGGTTTTGCCATTTGTTCTGTATGAGAAGTGAGTTTTTGATATAACCAAAGTACATTTCATAAATGATGATTAATTTTAACATTTATTTATCTTTTGAAGTATTGATAATAATAATTAATAATAGAATAATGTTACCAGAGTAAGGAATTAGACATTGTTAAAAACCAACACAATTGTTTTGTAAACAAATCTGGGTTTCTTATATTAAAAATATAAGCCAAGTGAGTAGGCAGTAATTAAATCATGAGCATAAAGTTTTATTTCTATTAATAAGGAGAAAAGATCATTAAAGATGTGGCAATCAAAAACAGGAAATAGTACACAAATGCATTTGGTGTAAATAGTTTTGTGGCAACAAGTACACATTTGGTGACAAATATAACATTGTATTTTCGGGATAGAAGTATTTTATTTTTTAAGGCCCAGAGTGCTTAACTAGGCACAATAAAGTTCAAATAATATTTTATACAATAGTACTATGTTCAAGGTCTCAAATCATCAGGACTTCAGCGATTCTGGATTTCAGAAATTTTCAGGTTTTAAATCTTCAGTTCAAAATCTAGTAAGATGACATGTAGACACAGCAGTATTGTTTAGTTCAGATAGTGAAGCACTAATTCCCCTTTCCCCCCGCACACAACCCCTGAAGGATAAAAAATGTGGTCGCAGCCAACCTTAGTGCGACATCAATCAATGTATTATTGTTGGGCCTAGTGTGATTCCCTAACAAGTGTTTGCAAGTGACAAGCAAGAATCTCTAAATTTAGTAAAGGGGTGGTGCGCCTATGCATGCTGCTGGGCCACAGGATGTTGGATGTCCAGATTTCAGACTTTACTGGATAACCTACTTCCTCTGATCCTTTAATTCTATTCATTTGCAAAATGCAGTCTTTTCTGTACTGTTATAGTGTTATCAAATTTTATTTTACATTTTCAGCCTTTTTTGCTTCTGGGTGATTTTGTTTTCTTGTAGCATAAACATTCATGCCGATAATTAAGTCACTGTCCCACCTAACTTCTGTAGAGTTTCAGAGTTGGAAAGCCCAGATTTATGTACTGTGGCAATCCTGCTCATTTTTGTATTATCTAACTCTTTTACCTGGTGCCATTGCTCTATTTATATGTACTTTATTATCTTTTTTTAAAAAAAAATATTCGTATAATCATTGCAGCTATCATCTTCTTCTTTATTGAAAAAAAATTCAAAATTGGTTTCTCTTGACTTGAAATCCAAAAATTGGTGAAATTGGTTCTTAGCCAATCGAATGGTAGCAGCCACTACCATTCGATTGGCTATAAACTGTGATGACTAATATTCTTCATAATTTGAATTATGTGTTTGGTTATCATATAAGCGTAGCCTTTTATTATGTGCAGTGAATTTTGAATTTGGTAAAATCAAATGTTTCATGTAAACATGCAAAGTCAAAATTCACAAAAGGCCCAGAGTGTGTAATTTGCTGACAGCCAAAATGAACTTATCCTCTAAAAATCAGTTTTCTCTAACATTCATTTTCAGTGCTGTTAGATAAAATTCTATTGCTAAAGGAACTGAATTAAATATAAAATGAGTAGCTAAATTATATTAATTAATTTTTGCTTGTTTTAAACTGATGAAGAAGAAAATTATTTTCTTGGTAATTCCAATATTAAAAATTAAATAGGTATCTGTTGAAATACACTGTAGAAAATTAGTAGAAATAAAATAACATTAGAGTATATATTTCAAAAACATGAGTTCAATTTAAAAATCAATTTATGTATTAAGAACAGTAATTTGGTATTTATCTGTTGTAGTTCTGAAAAATTTATTCATTGAGTAAGTTTTATTTAATCAGTAGTTGCTATAATTTCTGAGTTCACTGTAAGTATCTTTATGGGTGATTTTGTGTCTGGGGTATGTTTGTGCGTAGTCTGTAACTTTGATGAATAACAGAATTTAATGAACCAAAATAAGTAAAATGTAGATTAAAAAAGAAACATATTTTGCTTTAAACCTATCTTTGAAGTTTAATTATATGTCTATATATATTCTTTTGTGTATAAGCTGCACTTAAAAAAAAAAAAAAAAAGAATAAAATTAGGAATGTACAGAAAATTAGGAATGCAACTTATACACATGAAGGATTTAGAAATAGGTACACCCACACATATGGCAATATAGCAATGCATATTTAATGTTTGAGTATGAAATTCATTGTTGTTGGGTGAATACATAGGATTGTAGAAGTTTAGGTTGTAGGTTGTGGTGAAATGCTATGGGATTCTGGTACCGGAAATGGCCGTAGTACACAGCTCTTTAGTTGTACTGACAATGAGAGTAAATAAAAGGTGCTAAATGTAGAAACGTGTTCTTTTTGACCTATAATAAAAATTTTTTTTTCATCGTGTGGTAAATACCATTTTCATTTTAGATACTTTCACTGCACCAAAACAAAAAATATTGTAGTTTGTAAACAGGCTTTTCTCAGATTATCTTCGAGATTTTTTTTTTATTTCTTTAAACTAAAGTTAATTAAGAATATGGCTTATACACATGAGAATGTTGTGTTTATCATTAATTTCATTACATATTTATTTTTTCCTCCCAGAATGTACTTTCTCTGTACTTTCTTTCCCAGAAGACAATTTGATGGAATTTTAAATGTATTTCTACTCTGTTTACAGTCATTATTTATGTTGTAGAGACATTAGGTTATTTGGAAGCAGGAGATGTGAAAAATTAGCAACGCTTTTGGTGGGACTTGACCGCGGACCTCTCGAATACACACTGAGCGTACTGACTACTACAACATAAAGGTATGATAAGAAGACTGGAGAAATACCTTATCTATTCCTCCTTTTAAAGGTTGACTGGGGATTAGGGGACCCAATTGCTGAATTTTGGTGGTGGAGAATCATCATCCACCACCTTTTTTTTAGTCTGGATGCCACTATACAGTCCACTGTAAAGACATTAGGTATTTTTTTAAAGGTGGAGAGATTGAAAAATATGCAATGTTCTTGCCAGGACTCGAACCACGGACCTCTCAAATATGCGCTGAGTGTGCTGATCACTACACCATGAAGGCATGCTAAGAACACCTTCTGATGCTGAGAAATACCTTGTAATGTAAACTTTAGAGATTTGGGGATATTTCATAACATCAGAAATTTTTGTTATATGTGTTTCTGTGGTATATATGCGACAAGTATTTTAGTTAACAAAAACAGAATTTGTGAAATTAAATACTTTTTAAAATACTTTTCATTCAGCACTGTCCTCAAAACATTTAAAATAAAATTTGCTTAAATTTTCAAAATGCATGAGAAATGTATTGCAGTATATTTTTGAAGTCGCTCCCCCTCAGATTTTTCATTTAAATAAAGATTTATATTCATCCCTTCCACCCATCTTAGTTTAAAAAATAGGGGAAAAGTAGAACTATTGATTTTTGGCTGTTGTTGATTCAGAAATTCAGTTATATGTTTTATTTTAATTTCTTAGCTTCAAAATCATCTGAAGAATGTGAAACAAATGAGTTAAAATGTGGAAACAACAAATGTATACCAGCCAGCATGAGATGCAATGGGGTTCCTGACTGCGAAGATGGTTCAGATGAACATATGTGTTCAAGTAGGTATTAAACAATTTGTTGCACATAATACCATAACACTGCAGATAACAAGTATGAATCTCTTGCTCGATCTTTTGCCGTATTTAGATTTTTCCATTCTGTCAGCGAATGATACATTGTTGGATTGTACTTTGGCATAAGAAGTATAAATTTACAATGCTATGTGATAAATAATCTATATTTCAGTGGCAGAGGTTAAGAATAATTCATCTCGATATCCCATTCATAACCAAATTACTGGAATATGTGCATTCAGCTACTGAAACATTCAGTATTTTTACTAATTGTTTTTGAACAACAAATACCTCATTAAGACATTTTAAAAAAGTAAAATGAACAGGTAAAGCTTGTTTAAAAAAAGAGGGGGGGAGAACAAGGCTGAATCAGCTTGTATACGCTAAGAAAATTTAATCAAGCTAAAAGGTGAAATAGACGTTATTATCTGTACTGTTTTCTTAAACACTAGTTGTAAAATAATTATTTTCTTGCCCATTAACTGCAAATGTTACATACATAAATAAAGTTCAAAGATTTTAAAGATATACTTAAATTAATTTTAAGAATCATTGGTTAAAAGAAAACACAGTATTCTATTTTAGCTCAATCATGGCCTGGAAAGTATTAATTTAGCCCCATTTTGATTAGTACATTGCGAACACATAGCGTCATTGGGAGAAACGCATATGCAAGCGGACAACCGTTTATACTATTGCGTTGGATTTATGCGTACGGAAGTTCGGTGGTCGATTGCATTTATTGCCACCAGATGTCTCTTTATTTACCTTATGGGATTCGGACTCTTAAGTATTCTGCTTGTGAACTGTTAAAGTGAAGCGTGCTAGCAATTTTTAGATAAGATTTGCAATAGAACTGAAAGTAAATGAAGGTTCTAATCTGGTAGCGTGATTGTTCCATTTCAGATGCCTTGTAATTAATGATAACAATATTTGTTTACAAATTTCATAACACATTGTTCTAAAGCAAGTCTCTTTCTTTCAAATGCAAAAAATCATTTGACAAAATATGATTAAACACGCCAATGTGAACTGTTTGTACACATGATATTTGAAGTGGTGGGAAACTTTTCTTAAAACTTGGTGTTATCTTGTTGTTTATTGTAATATTCTTATGAGGTTCAAAAACATGTAAGAATATTCCAGTTTATTCAAGTTTAAAAATATTTCAAATCAGTAGGTTTGCCTTGGAAATATAAAAATATTGTGCTTAATTTAGTTTAAAAGCAAATTTTTGATTGGTTTTATTTTTTTATGTTATTTAAATAAATTAATAGTTATTTAGTTTTGTAATATCAAAAAACATCTCAACAAAAATTATTTGTTAAAATATGAGTTACAAGACAGATATTAATAGCAACAGTGACATATGACGCAAAGTTAGAAATGATTGAAGTGTCAAATATTTTTGTCAAAAGGAATGCGTTAAATTCATCACTTAGTGTGCTCATCTTTATTGGCTAATTGTGTATGGATAACTCGGCATTGCTGGGTGAAAATCATAGATGTTTCTTCATGTAATATCATTCCACCCCAATTAAATAAGCATATGTTGTTAAAAGTACCAGTGGTACTTCTAGAAATCATGTTTGTCACATACTGAATATTAGACAAATAGGCTAAGACTCTACAAACTGAGGCTGAGTTGAAACGTGTTGGTCACAAAGGAGATGACTATCATCTCTTTCAGAAGGATAGCTGAAGGAAGATTCCATGTGATAGTAGCTTCTTATTCCAAGACTTCATCAATGCGTCACCAACTGTTCATACTGGTAACAGTTTTTGGAAGACAAGGGATTGGTTCAGATGTAATATTATCGTAAGTCATATTGATCATGTGATACCACTAATGATGGTGTGAGATGCATCCTTCCAGATGCTGTACCTCTACTATAACAGGGTTCGTACAGTCTTTAGAAGTCCTTAGTTTTTTTTTTTTTGGAATCGATTTTTGGTCCTTAATTTCAATCAAAATTGGTAGAAGGTCCTTAATTTTAATCACCTGAAATTTCTGTCTGTTTTTATGACTGCAGTTTTGAGTGTTAATTAGCATTTTGGAGGAATATTTGTGGCGATTCACTGACAAATATGGTTATCTTTTGAATGGGTTCATGAGTTCTAAATTGTTCTTAATATAAAGGTTGGATATTCGAATTTCTGGGCAAGAAGTGAACCATAAGCATTTCGAAATTATTTCAATGAAGAGCTTTTAAACAACTTTTTGCTTTTGGGGATGTTAGTTCTTTTATTAAATGGTTCTAAATTTGGCAACTTATCAACATTTTGGCGATTTTAAGATCAGTTTCTATAGAAAATTTTTAATTCGGAGATCTGAGAATTTTTCCGCGATTTTTTTTTTCAACATTATAACATTGAAAATCATTAAAGTAATGGTGATATATTGAATTTATATTTAAAAAATAACATTAAATTAAAGCATTTTTATTTTTCGCTGTCTTATTATAAAATGACATAACTTTCCATTTTGGCGACTTATTGTACAACATTTTGAATCTGAAAAATAAATAAGGTAATAAATGCTATAAAGCACAGTTTACAAAACAGTTCTTAGCAAAAGCAAAAGTAGTATGCAATTAAATAAAAGTGTCTTTCCCCCCCCCATGGTAAGATTTTTTTCCCATTTAATTGTCTCAGAATTCTCTACAAAATTAATTTTACACTTTTTTTACCCCTCTCTCTCTCTTTTTTTTATATTTGGCTTTTACTGTGACAAAATTGGTAGGGGTAATTTTTCTTTAGGATTTTAGACATTGCAACTTTGACAGTTTAGAAGGATTTGAAGGCAAGATTTAGACATGAATCTAGAAGATTCGAGAAAAATGCGACAAAATGAAAATTGTCTTAATAGTATTAACACATAATGGTAATGTATTTTATAGGAAATTTGTGATGGATTTCATACCTTTTTGGAAGAACAATGAAAATATAATATTTGAATGTTTTTCTTCTGATACTAGAAGTCTTTTTTTTTAACATGTACTATATCTTCCCTTTATTTTCTCTACTTTTCACTAGATACAATCATGGAAAAAATTCTTCTAATCTTATCGCATGGACAGGCATTTATAGAAAGGAATTTTTCTGTTTATGAAAGAATTGAAAACTGACAATTTAAAGGATTCATCTTATATGTCTCATCATACATAGGGCTGGCGCTAGGCATTTTCCTACCTGATTACCTACTCTGTGGCTCCTAAATTCTGCTGCCTAGTGCCTTCTTAAATTCTAAAAGTTTTGCCAATACTAGATTTTTGTTGCTCAGTGTGTCACTAAATTCTAAAAATTCTGCCACAAAATTTCGGATATATTGTTTCATATTTGTTCTGAATATTCATACAGGGTGTTCGGGATAAATTTGACAGTTTCGTAAGGAAAAAGAAAATCCACTTCGTATCTATTAAATTTAATGAATTGACAAAAAAAATTACAGGCAGAGTAAATTACAATACTATCAACAAGATTCACTCAAAATAACCACCATTAGCATCAATCACAGCTTCAATCCTGCTTCGAAACCTCGAACAAGCTGATGCTACGGTCTTCCTGGGAAGGGCCTCAAAAACTGTTTTAATTTTATCCATTAACTGGGCTTTTGTATTACTGGAAGTGCGATTGGTGTCTTTTTCAACTACACCCCATACAAAATAATCCGTGGGGTTAAGGTCTGGGGAGTTTGGAAGCCAAACATTTGGACTGGTGAAGTCGTAGAAATTTTCAGACAACCATTTTTGACTTTTTCCAGAGGTGTGGCAAGGGGCCGAATCCTGCTGCCATACATAAAGCCTACCTTTGGCTATCCTTGTTATCCAGGGCTTGGTTACAGCATTTAGTAACTCCGCGTAGCCATCTGATTTTAACCTGAGGCCCTCTTGGAAAAAATGTGGAGGCATCAAATCGCCTTCAGAAGATACACATCCGAAAACCATCACAGTTTGGGGAAATTTAGTCTGCGTTACACGAGGAATGTCCTTTGTACTGTATGCAAGCCATCTGTTATTCTGCATGTTGTGTTTTTGATCCTGGCAAAAAGTTCTTCTTATCGGAAAAGAACCAGATTGTTTGTGGTTCCGCAGGATGTTTCACTTTGCTTAGAAGTTTCTTTGCGTTTATCAAACATTTTTCACAGGACTTTTCTGTGAGTAGCTGACCTTTGTGGCACTTGTATGAGTAGTAGCGAAGGTCTTCATTGAGTGCAAGCTTCATAGTAGAGGCTGGAACATTCATTTCACATGACAAAGCCCGAATTCCAATGCCAGGGTTCTTCAACACCTGTTCCTGCAGATTTGCGAGGAATTCTGCTGTACAAATGCAATCAGATCGTCTGCTAGGGATCTTTCTTCTTGCTACATCCTCATAGTCACCATTGCAAGTCTCTAGTTCATGCCTGATTGTTTTTACTGTGTTCAGGGAGCATTGGTCAGCAGTCATAATATCCTTATTTTGATGGCCGGCACAAATCATCATGATGCAAGTTATTCTCTTCCATGATTCAGGTGGGTTCCAGTCATCCTCCTTTCTGACATCTTGTATATGAATGAGAAGGGTCCAAACTTTTTAATGACAAGTAGTGTGTGTCAATACCTCCAACCTACGGAAAAATATAATCAATTATAAATATGTCAAATTTATCCCGAACACCCTGTATTACTAAAGAAATAAAATGAGCAGCTTTTTCTATATATGTTCAAAATGCATTTAGTTTTTTAGAATAGCAAAAATTTCTAATGCAAAACTTCTAAAATGAAGAAGAACCATATTGAAGGGGGGGGAATACGTTAAGAGAAAGAAAGTTATTCTTCAAAAATATGTACAGTTATTATTATGTAAATTAACTAGTTGTTTATAATTTCAGCCTTTACGATAACTTCCCCTTTCCGTTTCCTCACCAGAATGTTAATCAGTTAGATAGTTTCTAAACTGGAGTTTTTGAATGGTAAGATAAAGTGTTTTCTGGCCTCTGCTTGCACGCTGCATTAATACCTGCCAGCATACATTCAAATTAAATTGTGTAGTCTTTGACTATTAGTCTACATTTTTAGTTTGAATTTGATTGTTCCTGTTTAATTACATCACCACGAGCTGTAGATGATTGTGTTAGCTTAAGAACGTGCCTTTATATTTTAAGTTCTTTTTTAATAAAAGGTTATTTAAAACTTTATCTGACTTTGTAGGTAATTTCAGATATGGCAGTAATTTGCTTCACATCTGACAGGGGTTTGTGACTATTTAACTTTTACCAGATCAAGTAAAACCTCATAGGTACATTGCCGAGAGAATGAAAGGTTAGGAGATAAAGCATGCAGAAACTAGCGGGAACATTAGTTTGCATACTGAAACTAATTTCTAATTGTTAGAAAAGATGCTTAAAGAAAAGCAAATTGATATAAATTAGCCAAAATGCCTGGGAGGGCTTCAAATTAAAAGGTTCTGGTTAATTTGCATGTACTTGGCTACTAGAACATTTGAGAGGTAAGTGGCTATTTGCTGGTCTTCTTACAACTGTAAAATATAAATAATATCAAAGAATGATTAAAATATCCTTTTATTCACACAAAGAAATGCTAATAGACGGCCCTTCTCGGGCTTAAAGGAAGGCCTCCGCTTGGGCTTAAGATAGAAAATAAGAAACTAATTCTAACTAGCCAAACTTTAGCCGAAGAAACACAGAGATTGTTAACCGGGTTGGCCTGTAATTAAACTTCACCGGGCACATAAGATTATGGCCATACATAGTAAGATAGGCTTAAAACAACAAGTGGCTCGAAGGCAGAATACGCTCTACAGAGTTTTTTTACGGAAGTGACTGAACTCCTTATTAAATACTGGCTCTACTTCATTGACATAAAACGCGATACCTAAATCTCATTCTTGCGTTGTAGGTGAGAAACAAATATTTAACGCACTGGAATAAGCCCTAAAAAATTAAAAAGATGCATAAATTTTTTGTTGCATGTTGAAGCTACAAAATATAAATGTTTTGTAATTTTTAATGTGTAATTATTCTAATATCATCTAAGAACCAATGTCATTAATTGTATGTATTTTAAACTATGAAATGTTATTAGAGTGTGATTTTGATAGTGCTTTTTTGACAAATATTTTTAAAATATATAAAAAAAAATGAATAGTGGTCATGTAAATCTATAATGATTAAGGGTATCTAACTACCTAATTTAATTATTTGTAGTTAATAGTTCACCCTTAAAAGTTATCTGTATATTAAAATGAGTTATTTCCCTTCATTAATATTTACCGTGATCACAAGATACAGCACAAAAATATAAAAAATTATGTAAAACATTCTTTGCATCTAGTGAGACTTAATGCAAAAAAACTTATAACTTCTGGTGCTTTAGTGGCTTATTGGAACCTTAAAAATTTATTAATTGGATTGCAACCCCAGGAACTCTGTAGAAAGCTACGACACGACTGCATCAGACAGACAGAGCACAACGTAACTTTCAAAACTTGCCAACTGTGCCTACATCATGCTTTCAGGTTTGCTTAGATCAGCAAGGTCTTTCTCTAGACAAGCAGCAGTGGTGGCAACAGTCAGTCTTCTGTTACGAATCATGCAGCTTATGATTTTACTTCTCATTTTAACCTAAATCTCTGGACTGAGCAAGTACGTGATAAAATGAGACATGAAAGAAAAAATCAGCATAGAGCTAAATGTTAGTAAACTGTAAATATAATATCACTAATCTTCTTTCAAATATGTACAGCTATTACAAGTGTAAAATATTTAATGTTACTTGATAAATTTTTTAAAGTTGCTTTTATTCTCAAATTTGTTTTGTAAGTATGTATATTAAATTATGTTTAATAATAATGCATCGTACTTAGATCTGTTTTATTCTTAGGATGGTATTACAAAAGTGAAGTTCAGACATAGATAATATTTTTAATTGAATTTATTCAGCTGTCATTTTGCTTAATTTTTTTCATTAAGGGTCCTTAAATGTACTTAATTCCCATATGGAGAAATGCATACAAACCCTGTAAAATGACAAAATGTTCAGCCATTATGTGCCCACAGATTGTTCCAAGACTTGTTAGAAAGCATGGTTTATGCACATTCAGTGTTCCAATAACCTCACATATGCACTATAGAAGTTGCTGATGTCTAAAGATAAACAGTTGAAGGAAACTGTAATAATGAATATTGAGCTACTAGCTCTCATTGCACCATCTGTCATCAAACTGTGTTGACAGATTTCACTTGATGTGTCACTTTCCCTATATTTTTGTTAAAAAAATCATTTTGTCATGAAAATTTGACTTATGTGTACTCAGATTATATATTCATATTTAATTATGTAAATATTTACTTTTTTATATCTTTTTTATATTTAGATAGATGTCCTTCTGGAAGATCCTGTAGGTCCCAGTTCCAGTGTTATGAAGCTTCCATGCATTGTGATGGTATTGCTGATTGTGCAGATTTTAGTGATGAAATAGACTGTGGATTTTGTGCACCTAATCTGACTAGATGTGGTACAAATTCTTCTCAGTGCTACGATCCTCTTACTCAGAGATGTGATAAGTATGGAATGATCTTAATTTCTATTGCTGTTTTTTAAATGTAAATTAATAATTACCTGATAAATTAACATCCCTTAATTCACTAGAATTCCATTTTGCAAGCTAAAAAGGGATGAAATAATATTGATAAAAAAACTGAAAACGACTGAATTTCTTAAACCACTTTGAAGAGTTGTTTTGTTTTGACTTTTGGTCATTAAAATAAATTGTTGCTTATCAACAAGGGATGTTCATCAGAGTAACTAAGTAAATTCATATAAAACATTATTTTATCCATACTTATTAATGACATTTTTCAGCAAGAGGTAATTTTTTCATTAGTGTAACAAATAAAATTATTTCTTAACACTTTCTATAATTTATTACTTTTTTAAAAGCATTTTGAAGATCTCTTGGTAGTTTTGTTTACATTTTTCATAAAATCACATATGACACAATTTCTGATAGTTGGTGATAACTGAGGTCTTTTACCTTCAGTGTAACAAAAGTACAGCATAAATTAATCATGTAAAGAGTAATTTTATCTGAATATCTTAATAGGATTTCACAGCAAATTTTTTATCCTGTGAATATCATAAAATAAGTTTCAAGCAATCTATGAAAGTTGGACTGCAAAATTTGATTGCTATGTATTTTTTTGCATTTAAAGTAAAATCTGATTGCTATGAATTTTTTTATAAAATATAGATTACACTTATATTTATTTCTTTAAAAAAGATTTAAATAGTAATATACAGTTTTAATATTCTGCCAATCATGCACTTTTGTTTTCAAAAAAGGTAGGAAAGACAAACACTAAAACTTAAGTGTTAAACATTAAAGCATTAGTGTCTTGAAGTGTGAGGCTTTAAAGTTTCACTGAGAGAAACACTAAAGATTTTTTTGATTGAATTTTTCAGATTTTCAGTTTTTGTTTTATTTTTATTAAAATTGAATGTTTAAATCTTCTATGATATTAGCATTAAAGCCATAAGCTGGTTTTTCAATACATATTTGAATTTTTAATGTACATTTGTGATTGCAGAAATTTTAATTTGAATGCAAAAATCACTATTGCACTACTTTCTAGACCCCTAGTTAGATTTTGTGTTAATGTTAGAAATTGTTATTGTTTTATTTCTCTTTTTTTATTATTATTATTTTAATCTATATGAACTACCGTACTTTGAGTGTGTGTATTAAAATTTTTAAAAGATGATGTGGTTTGTGTCGTAAAATGTTTTAAAATTATGATATTGTATTTTTATGTATTTTTAGGGTATTCAATTGTTTTAATGGAGAAGATGAAAAGGATTGTTTCAGCTTATGCCCTGGAAAAATAATGTGTGATTCAAGAAGAGGCTGTTATCCTATGAAACATCGTTGTAATGGTGTTGCTCACTGTGAAGATTTTTCAGATGAAAAAAATTGTGGTAATAATAGATAAATGCTTATTGAGTAAAGTACATAAATAATATTAAATATCTGTCTTATGTCTGAAGCGAGGATATAAGTTCGTGTTTGTATTCCTTTGGTCAGCATTTATTTTATATTTACAAGACCACATTTAAGTATAATTTTTTATTTTTTATTTTTAACTGTTCGTGCATGTAATTTTGTTATTATTTTAAATTGCATAGTTTAATTTTGAAATGGGAATTAAAATATAAAGATTCAACCTATATTTACTTTAGTTAATACTTGTATTTATAACCTTTTCCTGTGGATGAATCATATATGTCCTTCATGTTCTTGATATTAAATAAGCCTTATAGAAATTTAGTCTGTAATAGAGATTTAAAATTTGTTGTTTAATCCAGAATATAAAATAGTAGAACCTGTAAATTTGTTTTTCTATTCTTTGCTGGCTAAATAGCTGACTAACAGTACGTACAGTACGTAAAAAAATTTGAAAAAGGTTAAATTTACTTAACCTCAGTATATGATACGAGGGCCATCCAGGAAGTAGATTACGTTTCCGTCTGTGTCCGCTAGGGGCGGGGCTAGCGCGGCCATCTTGGGGTCAGAGCGTTGCGCAGCTCAGTCTGCATCTAGCCGTGCTAGTGAGAGGTTCGTGCTGTGCTCCGTTCAGATACTGTGACGGTTTGAAATGTCTGCGTTAATTGAAAATCCCGCGAGGTGCGCTCAGTAATAAGGTTTCTGACTGCAAAAACTGTAAACCGATAGAAATCTATCGGCAGCTTCGTGAAGTGTATGGGGACAACATTATCACTGAAGGTGGAGTGCGTCAGTGGTCATAAATTTCAAAATGGCCGAACCAATGTTCACGACGAAGATCGAAGTGGAAGACCCAGCATAGTGACCGCCGAACTTCTCGAAAAAGTCGATGCTAAAGTCCGTGAAAATCGAAATTTCACAAATAACGGAACTTTCTTTGAGTTTTTTCCACAAATTTCGCGAAGTTTGTTGCACGAAATCATCAGCGAAAAGCTTGGTTACCACAAGTTTTGTGCAAGATGGATTCCAAAAATCTTGACAGAGGACCACAAAAATCAGCGAATGGCTGCAGCGTTGAACTTTTTGGACGCTTACCATAAGGATGGTGACACTTTACTCGATCGCATCGTTACTGGTGACGAAACATGGGTGAAACATGTGAACTGTGAAACGAAATTGCAAATCAATGCAGTGGGGGCACACAAGTTCTCCCCAAAAACCCAAGAAATGCATGCAAACAATGTCGGCAAGGAAGATGATGGCGACTGTTTTTTGGGACAGAAAAGGTGTAATTTTGGTGGACTTCCTGGAAAGAGGCACTACAATAAACTCTCAAAGGTATTGCCAAACTCTCCAAAAACTCAGAAGAGCAATTCAAAACAAGCGCAGAGGAATGTTGAGCTCTAAGATCTTGTTGATTCACGACAACGCCCGGCCCCACCCCACACGGCAAATGTCACTCGTAAAGTTCTTGAATCTTTTAAGTGGGAGTTGTTTCCTCATCCGCCATACAGTCCCGACCTGGCACCGAGCGACTTCCACCTATTCCCAGCAATGAAGAAGTGGCTGGCTATGCAGCGTTTTGATGACGACGCACAGCTGCAAGAAGAGGTAACGAAGTGGTTGAAGGCGCAGGCGGCCGAATTTTTCGACGAAGGAATTTCCAAGCTACGATAAATGCCTTAATTTGTATGGTGACTATGTAGAAAAGTAGTATTTGAGTGTGGCTTTCATCTGTATGTAATAAAATTTGTTTCCTATACTTTGTTTATTTTTTTATTCCAAAACGTAATCTACTTTCTGGATAGCCCTCGTACATTACTAAATTTATCAACAGAATAGTATGTACATTAATTATTCAGTTTATTTAATGATATTTTAAAAGTTCTTTGGTAAATTAAAACTTCACTTTTCCAAATTTTGTTAGTGTAAAAGTGTCAGAAAATTACAAAATGAAGTTAGACAAATAATATAAAATTAGAATATTTAATTTGATAGTAATATATTTTATATCAGAATGATATAAATAATGCGTTATAAATTGAATTAAAATCAGTTTGGAGTTTTTTAAACTGATGCTGCCTCTCAATGTGAAAAAACATCCTGGAAGCTCTCTATTATTAGTGCTAGATAATCCTACTTTTTCATATTCCAATGTTTGTAGCTGTGCATTAGCATATTATGCAAATATGTTATTTTTAATTTTGTTCCTGTATACCAGGCTCAGCTAAATTGCAGCTCTGAAGTTTAATTTTATTTTTTTAAATTCATTTTCATATTGAAACAGAATATCATGTGGCAGGCTTCTTTTTCAATTAAAAATCTAATTTCTTAATTCATGTGTATAATTAATTTAATCACTTTCAGACTGCCCTCTGTGCACTAATCATCAGAGTAACAAGTAAAATGGTGCATTATTTCTTCTGTAATGGCCATATTATTTTTAAAGCAAGTAATGGCCATCGAAACTCAAAGATCATTTAAAAAATAATTTGCTGTATTTTGTTTTAAGCACTTATTTATTTCTGACAGTTTCTCTTTAGAGTCCTTCTTTACCTTTTGTCCTCAGCTGTCCTTACCCAGCCATTATTTTCACAACTGTTCATCGTATGCATATACTTGCAGTTTTAAAAATGTTTTAAATGATCCAAAAATTCATGTTATTTAAAGAAATCAGTTTTTAAAAATTATGAAATCTAATTTTTATATGATCCACCAATCCCTGTGTTTATATTTAGGGAGATTCTGTACTAATTATAAAATAGCAAAAATTTTGACTCCTATACAGCAGATATTTTATATTAAAATCAGAGATCAGCTATCTATCTGAAATACATTTTCTATGAAAAAGTTGACAAAGAATATTGATATGAATCTTATTTTAAATGCTGATCTTCCCATTTGTAAACCTTCAGATACGCTTACCTCGTGAAACATCGTTTTCACTGTCATAAATGAAGTTTTCATGACAAAGTTGAATATTAAGTTTAAAATTTCTCCTGTTGGCATCATCCAATTTGCAGTATTGCTAGCCTTGTGCATTATTCTTTTAATGAACTTATATATGTCGGCATTAGGATGTACTCAGTGTATCTCATGTGTGAATATGTATAGTTGATGATGATCTTAAATCTCTGAATACATATAGTTTTTAAACTTTTATTCAGAAAACTAAAGTTAGGTTCAATCTTGAATTTCCTGGAATTTAAATCCTAATCCTAAAAGTTTTTCCAAATTGCAAATCTCTCCATCAAATAAGAATAAGATGAGGAGAAAAACTTTTACTTAATATTATGAGATTTTAATTAAAAGTTTTAAGTCGTGTTTAATGAAAAGCAAATTTTATACATTTTTAAAAGTACACACACATATATATATATATTAAAAACAGGCAAATAAAATTTAGGAAAAGAAGTAAATAGTTAAAGTCTTAAAACTTGAGATTCATTTTGTCAATATAGTTTGATAAGCATACTGAGTAACTCTTCAGATTTCAACTAACAAATCAAAATTCAGCAGCCATGGCTGAATAATTCAACTGAAAGGCTGTTAGAATCATATTCACAACACAGATTTTATATATAAAGCCATGAGTTCAAAACATCCAAGACCTATTTGTAGTAAGTTATGTCCAGAATTAGCAACATAATTTTAAGAGTTTCGAGACAGTGGAGCGTACCAATTACTTGAAAGTTCTCGCAAATTTCGATGGACGCCGTACTGAAATATTGAGGCATTCAGGGTTGTCACAATATTGTTTTAGTAATTCAAATATTCCTGCGTTTGTGTTTTAGTAACCAACATTTCTGATCATCAATAAAACTTGTCTTTCCAGAGATATAAGTTAAAATATTTGGCAGTTTCTTAGGTTAGGATTCAAAAGGCTCCAGTGATTTAAAAAGGAAGCTAAAAATTTAGGTAACTGCAGGATCTGAGGATTCATTCTTGAAGAAGAAACAAAATGTAACTAATAATTTAGTTCACACCTGAAGAATTAAATTAATTATTTAGGTTTGATCTCAGCATGTTTTGTTCTTGTGTTAATAGTATGGAGGAAAATAAAAAATATTTTTATGCAAATTTCTGGAAGAGTTGATGGTTTATTTTAAAACAGTTCCTTTCTATCAGTGCATATAAGAGCCAGATTCCCTTACTCCTAAATGCTAGATAAAATGTCCTCCGTGGAGGCATCCTTCCTCCTAAGCAGGTATGTTTTGCCATTTTCAAACAAACAGACCATTCTCAAACTGCTGTTTCTCCACAGTACATGCTGTCTTGTGTCACTTATTCAAGTATTTCCTAAGATGTGCACAAGTTAAAGAAAAATCACTAAATCAGTTTTCCCGATTAGTGCTTTATTTTTCATTCAAATGAAAAATGTTTTTAGATTATTACTGATAAATCATTTTATCTACTTTTTATTTCAGTTTGCATTTGCTATAACCAATCAACAGTTATTAACCTTAGGGGTGTAGAGAAAGAAAACTAGATGAAAATGCTTCTGTCTGGGGGGGATGTATTTTGTTGTTTTATGGAGTGGTTTCAGATTCATTGATTGCAGGAACACTTTCCTGAATACAAAGCAGAATAAATGATAATTATTTACTTATATTTATATGCCACCACATTAATTAGCAAAAAATATGGAATTCTGATTAATTTATTTCAAACTTTTTTTCAATTTAAAACCAGGTTCACTATTTTAATAACAATATAAATATGAAATTATGGCTTATGGAAAATCTAGTTGCAGGTTTTAAAATTTCCTGTATTCCCTGTTATGAAATTTTTCCATCCCTGCTATATGCAGTATACATAAAAAAAATCTAATCTAATGGTTATAATAAAGTTCTTTCATAAGATTTCAAATGCCTATATATTAGCATTAGAAATGTCTTGAGCAGACCAAAATTTTAAGACCTGTCATGCATTTATTAACTATGCAAATTGGCAAATGTTGCTGTTACATGAAACT